AAATGATTTCGGAGCACCTGGAAATGACTGGCCTGGAGAAATACGTTCCAAAAGAGATATTTTCTTCTACTAAGAGTATGAAAAAGATATCACCAATAACATTTTCTTAGAAGGAATAAATTTTTTTCTCAGTACATAGAGCACTTACAATCTCTCAACCCTCCAACGTTGACAGTGAAGTTGAACATCTTGAGATAGCTCTGACCAAGAATGGATATAACATCCAATAAATTCGGAAGGTCAAGCAGAAGGTACAGAGCAAGCTCTCATCTCCCGAAGAGGAAACTAATCCTGAGGAAAACCAGCAAAGATTAAAAGTGGCCCTCCTCCCCTATCTGAGAAGCACAACAGAACGCATAAGTGGAGTACTTGGCAAACATAACATTCGAACGATCTTCCAGCCTCCAAAGAGGATCGGACAGATGCTGCCAAGTGCAAAGGATCCAAGACCACCCCTGAGCACACCAGGAGTGTACGAGATCCCCTGCTCATGCGGGAAAGTGTACATTGGAGAAACCGGGAGGAAGATCAGTACACGGATCAAGGAACACCAGCGGTACTCCAAATACGGTCACTTGGAACAGTCTGCCCTGGCTGAACACTGGATGGACACTAGACATACTATCCAGTATGACCAAGCCAGAATGTTGGCCAAATCTCAAAGGTATTTCGAAAGGAAATACCGAGAGGGTTTGGAGATCCATAAAAACCCTAATAACCTCAACAGGGACAGAGGATATCAAACGCGGCATCCATCCAGAAGCCGAACATTTCATTAATCATGGCCGCGAAAGCCTCAAAACTAGTTTCATATGTTCTGCTAGCAGCCAAAGAAAAATATACAATTGTCCTCAAAAATGACAATTTATATTTGTTGAAAATGGCCAACCATCCTTAAAACAAAAGAGAGTGTGGAAAATTAATTTCGTGGTATTGACCACAAATTTAACATATTTTTCCTGTTTTTTTAATGAAAAAATAGGAATTTAAAAAATGAATATCTGATGGAATAACACTAGGTAAAGTGAAACATGTTGTGATATTCTCTAATTATCAATATCTTTGTTAAATGATGATATTAGGGTTTGGAGCACGATCGGTCCATTAGATTTTGAGAGAGAGAGAGCAATTTGTTTTCCATCATGAATGTCGATTCTCAGGCTCTTCAGATTCTTGTAAATATCGAGCAAATCTCGGAAATTTCTGCCGTTTACCCTATTCTCTGTGGATTCTGAAAACTACCCGAGGTTGTAACATTTCCCATGTAGATACTTGGACAATTGAAGCTCAGTCAGGGAGATCAGAGACGGTTCACAATGCTCGAGGAATTATCTTGTTTTTAGCTTTAAAGTGACGACAATGATTCTATCGTTCGTGAACGCATACATAACTATCCCTGGAAATGGCGGTCCATCGCAAAGGGTGAGATCCTTGTCTTCACGCTAGCAGTCGTCGATTATTACGGCTCATCTCGTGCATACTGTAAGACGTACTTTTAAGTGGATATCTTACGATTTTCTAAAAACAAAAAATATGTATGCAAAAATTATCCTACTGTTCAATAAAATTTCCTATACCTGCAGGGTATTGCTTGTTTTGTGCCTGTGGGAAAATTATGCGGACGAATTGAACTGACTTTTTATTTAACGGGTTCGGTAAAAATCATTCTCCGTTATAGAAAAATTATACAAAAAATTAAAATAATTATTCACGTTCACTGGGTAATTTTTGATTGAATGCACGATAAATTTTGCAGTTTCGGTACAAATCATCCTCATGTTTACTAAATTTTAAGGTGAAAAAGTACTGGAAATTGAGGTTGCTCCACAAATATTTGGCTTATACGGTAATTTTTCTCCAACTTTTTTCCCCGTGTGGTCTTATCATTGGAATGAACTTGATATTTTCTTCCTTTCATCGTGTAGTTTTTATATTTTTCTCATCTTTATTTTTTCACACAATTCCATTGACTAAAAATGAAATAGTTTGCTTGCTCTACCTTTTCCTCTTAGCTTGATCTCCAATCGTAATTTTAGACTGGTTTAGGGATGCCTCATCTTGGCCGTCAGTGCTTCCCTCCCCACTAGGTCCTTCATCTTTCCCCACAATATTTCCTCTTGTTCCAAAAGCCCCAAAAGCTCCGATAACCTCCTCCGGTTCTTCTTCGACGGTACTTTTCCACCATTTAACTGTGTTTCACACATTTCACTCATTGTTTTTCATATTCTGTTTTAACCAAAAATTTGACGTTTCACAACTTGAATCAACACGTGGCCCCAATTGCATTGAAATGTCATAGCTTCAGCCTAAGCAAAACCGAAACGGAACTTCACAGCCCTAATAACTCATTAACCAACCAGATTTCATACCAATAAATTTGAGTCCAAGTTGAAAAGAAATCTCTATAGTTTTATTATTCATATTTGTGATTAATTAAGTTTCACGTCATCATATCAATGTTGATATTTTGCCAGGTCCTATCCAGACTCCGACTGGACCAATGGAAATCGACCAGAACAAGGCCGGTAACGCGGCCCGATTCACATGTTTCGCCAACGATTTGTTTGATTTTGTCAATGGCCATCTCTCTGAATCACATTCAGCACCATTGAGATCTGTTGTCACCAGCCAGACTCCTCATGTAGCGTTCTGGCGAAAAGCACCAGAAGAGCTTCCTAAAATGGAATTTGTTAGTTCCGAGACGTTTCAGAGGAGTTCTCCACCGACATTGAGGAATTGGAGTATCACTCTTAGAAAATTCGAATTGCTCTGGAAACTATTGGAATCAAAGGATTTTACACACATGATTCTGCGAAATTTCAATCAGAATTGCCAGGAAAACAAGTTTGGAGAATACAGCTCCCATGGGGTTCGCAATGTTGTCCCAACTTGTCGGAAAATTCGAGATCAACTACAAGTCTTCATCAATAACAGATTTGAGTGATGAAAAATCCATTGAAGCAAATTGCGAGAATATTTGGGATGGAAAACTTTTATTCACTTTGGAAGATTGTCTTGGAGACAATGATCAGGCCTTTTTACGTATCGACGTTGATAAAGAACTCGAGAACCTGCAGAACTTCGAAGGACCCATTGAATCTGAAGACAATGATGAGGGTGCGCCCTGCAATGTCTCTTTAACTACTGCTGCAGATCGCATTTCCCAATCACTGATGAAGAATCAATGTTGCTGTTGTCTCCTTTCTTTCAGTCGACCACGTGTAGCCAAACACAATAAATCTCTGTTCAATTGAGTATTCTCGAAAATGACTATGGAACTCAAAAGAATTATACATGCAGTTTGTCATCACAAGAATCTCAGTAGAGTTCTGCATCAAAGAATGAAATCTACTGTAGCGAGTGATTGGGTCCTTTGTGAGGAGAACCGAAAGAGGCTCCACTCAGACGCGATAAACCTAATTATTGCTGATTTTATTCCTAAATGGTATGCAGAGGTCAACCGACATCTGGTCGGGAAGTCATCGCATATGCGAGGACTTGTTATTGATGAAGCAAGGGGATAATATCAAAAAACATTGAAGAAGAAGAACAGAAAATAATTTGGTTTTTAGTACTGTGCAATAGCGTTTGAGTATGGCTAAATTTGGGATTCTAGTATTGAGAATAAACGTCTTCGAACTCACAGACAAGGAAAATGATCCACCTATCATCAGTTTTACTTTCCTGCTATCGTGTGTGTGTGTATATATATGTGTGTGTGTGTGTGTGTGTGTGTGAGAGAGAGAGAGAGAGAGAGAGAGAGAGAGAGAGAGAGAGATTGATTGATTGATTGATTGATTGAAGTTCATTTACTGTACATTATTTTGTACAAAAGAATAATATAACACAAGGTTGTACAGCAAGAAAAAAATAAAAGACAGAAAAATATATACATCGCATAAATAACAAAAACCATAAGTAGTATAGCAGCCAAACACAGTTAGAAAATCAGCATAAGTATAAGAAAATATAATAAAATCAGCAAACGGGGCTCTTAATGCGCACAGGCAATGATGGGGGAAGTATGAAAGAGTGCAATGACTGAAGAAATGAAGAAACGAAATGCAATGAAATGAAGAAATTAGTGAAGAAAAGAAAAGAAAGTGAAGAAGGGTGGGAAAAATCAGAGCAATCAGGGATTGTCACTGAGGAAAGTGCGAAGAGCAATCTTGAAGGACAGGATGGTGGGAAGATCACGTATTGAGGAGGGAAGAGAGTTCCAGAGATATGCTGCAGACACATGAAATGAACGGCGCAGAGATTCCGTCCTAAAAGGCTTGATAAGGAGGGGACACACCTCACCCCTCACCGGGCGCACACTGTGATTAGCAACGAAGAAGTCAGCAAGATAGCTTGGTTCTCCGGATCGCAGAATCCTGTAGGTGAGACACGCAAGAAAGTAATTCCTCCGCGCCTCACACGTCATCCATCCCATTCGCCCCCTGAAAGGGGCGATGTGCTCATCCCTCCTCACTCCGAAAACGAACCTAACCCCCATGTTGACGAGGCGCTGGATCCTAAGAGAGAGCTCAGCAGAAAGACCACCGTACACCAGGCAGCAGTAATCAACCAAGGGGAACACCAGAGTCTCGATCAAGTGTTTGCGCAGCTCAAAGGTGGTACTGGCACGGAAGAACCGGAAACGAAACATCACAGAGCCAACTCTCTGAGAAATGCTGGTAATATGTTCTTTCCACGTGAGTTTACTATCAAGTACCACTCCAAGGCTGCGTACTGAAGTCTCAAAGGGGAGCGTGGAATCGCCAATGCTAATGGACCTGCCGGGCAAAGAGTAAACGTCATTGACATAGGACTGAGAGCCAAAAATGATTGCCTTAGTCTTGGCAACATTTAGATGAAGGCGATTTCGTAGGGCCCAGTCCATAATGCATCTGGCTGCATCACCCATCCTAACAGTGGCATCCTCTAGGTCCTTCCTCGAGAACCGCAGATAAATCTGAAGGTCGTCAGCATAGACCAAGTGCTGGATATCCTGTGCAAGCGTTCTCAGCAATGTCATTTACAAACAGGAGGAACAACAGATGACCAAGAACGGACCCCTGAGGCACCCCCTTGTTCAGCGGGCGAGAAGAGGACAGACCACTCGAGCCTCCCAGCGTCGCCTGGGAACGACCACTGAGATAGGATGCTATCCATCTACAGCTGCTGACGAGAAGCCATAGCTGACAAGCTTCTCAAGGAACAGTACATGACACACTGAGTCGAACGCCTTGCTGAAATCGAACAGAATGAGCATGGTGAACTATCGCCTGTCAATTCCAGTACGTATGTCATCCGTCAGTTTAAGGAGGGCAGTCTGAGTACTATTTGAGGGACGAAAGCCCGTTTGAAGTGGATCCAGGATGGAGCGATCGGCAAGATACTCAAGAATCTGCAGCGAGGCAAGCCTCTCCAAGACCTTGGACACGAAGCATAGTAAAGCAATCGGCCTGTAGTCACGGACCGATGCAGGATTTTTTATCTTGCCGAGCGCCACCACAAGGGATTTTTTCCACTCCAGCGGGAAAACAGAGGTACTAAAGGATGAATTTAAGAGTTTTAGCAGGTAAGAAGTCAGGGACGGCAAAGCAGCAGAGATGACGGACTTGGGAATTCCATCAGCGCCCTTTGCCTCAGTCGAGAAGTGCCTAATAGCACTCACGACCTCATCAGCTGTGACAGGCCTGAATGAAAAACCCTCATCAGCAGCACACGCCTGGCACAGGGAGGATTCAAGAAAGTCATCAACAGAAGGTTCATTTAAGTCAAAGGACACTCCAGCAAAATGGTCGTTCAAGACCTCAGGGTCGAAGTCAGAGGACTGATTATCCACTGGAATCACTCCGAGACGTCGCAATTCCTTCCAGATTAAGCCAGGCTCCAGAATGGATTCCAGCCGCTGTTGAAAGAACCGCTGGGGTGCACCTTCGACCACAGCATGCGCATGATCACGAGCAAGACGATAATCCATCAGCGCGTTCCTGGAGCGAGTACGTTTGAACGTTCTATAAAGCCGATCTCTCACTGCTAGAAGGCCAACAATTTCATCCGTGAACCACGGGTTGCGCTTCGAGCTCTTCTTCACCACCTTCATTGGAACAGCCCTGTCCACAGCACTACTGATGTTGGAGCAAAGACATGAAACCAGGCTGTCAATGGACGAAGTCTCATTGAAGGCCGACCAATCACAGGATTGGAGATGAGCATTCAATAGCTCCACATCGAGTGCCTTAAAATCCCTGTAGCAAATATCACTGCTGAGCGAGGGACGAGGAATGACAGCCTGCAGTGTAGCCGTAATGAGATCATGCCCATCAACGAAAGGCACATCTGACTNGTCAACGAAAGGTACATCTGACTTCGAGAACGAGAGCAGAGTGTCTTCACAGTCAACTAAGCAGAGGTCTAGCCAAGTGTCGGCATCGGTAGTGTGATGAGTGGCCCCATGCGGCACAAGACAGAGAGAATTATCAGCACAGATCGATCTCACCACAGCGGCATCAGCATTGGATGAGGATAGCTGATCAGCATTGAAATCGCCTAGAATCACCTGAGAGCTGTACTCCTGAAGATGGAGCTGAAGGGCAGGTACGAAATCACTGCCTTCAAGAAACGGAGCATGAGGCGGCCTGTAGACTACTGCCACAAAAATCGGGAAGACATTATGGCAGGCTATTTCGCAGAGGAGATACTCAGGTAAACCTGGTTTTTTAGTCCACACATGAGAAGAGAAAGCGAGAACCTTAACCCTGAAACAATTGTTGATGAATAAAGCGACACCACCTCCCCGCGGATTGCGATCCCGTCTGAAAAGTGTGTATCCCTCAAGTGAGACCACATCATCACCAATTAGGGGGCAGAGCTTCGTCTCAGACATAGCAATAACGTGGAACGGAGGACGAGAATCAAGGAAGAGCCTGACTCTCTCAATGTGAGCTCTGAGGGAGTTCACATTGAGGTGACAAACTCTCAAACCATCCGAATCAGGCATCGATGCAGCAGAACTACGATTGGGGAAGGAGTGTGATAGTGAGGGAGGGGGGGAAGGAGAGATAGAATCATCAGAAGAGAAAGCAGAGTTAGGAGAAACAAATGAAAAAGAGTTTATTAAGAGCCCCTTGAAAAGTTTTTTAGTTCATCGAGAGACGAGATACGAGTGGCCAAGTCTTCCTTCCTCCTCTTAATGAAGACTTCACCATCTCTAATAAAGGTAGTGAAACCATTTTTCCTCGCTATATCCTTCACTGCACGACGCAGCTTGTATAAGTCAGGAGGGAGAAACTCATTGATGTTGATGAGAGCAGGTTGAAGAGGTGGCGTAACTCCTGAGGCATACACCAGGTCAATTTCCAGCTGAGATGAGTGAAGTTTCCCATGCTTTGCCTTAGCAATAATTAGCTCATGAGCTAACACTCCCGATGACAGCGTCACCTTCAAAGATGGAGGTCTGCCTGCAACTCCTGTCCCGCCAGATGACGATCCAGCATCAGCAGAAGCACCACCAGTGGATAGCTTGGAGTGGAGAGATCGCACGTTCGTGATGCTATCCAGATCAAAGGAGGGAAGCACCACTCGAAAAAGAGCAAGTAGCAGGCGCTTACTATCAGCACCATCTGGCAGTTGCAGCCCCGAGACTAGGATATCTGTTGTTAGCCGAGCCCTCTCCGCATTAATTCTAGCAACAGCATCAGCCATACCCTTCATAGAGGTCTCCACTGCATCAACTCTGTTCACCACCTCATCAGAAACCCTATCCGGAACACCTGCCAGATTTATGCCCTCAATAGCAGCACGCAGCTCACGCTGTTCACTCACCACATTACCAATGCGTTCACCAAAAGTGGCTACATCAGTTTCAAGTTTGTCCACTCTTTGGACTAACACAGGCAAGATATCCAGGGCAGAGAGTTTGGCTGTCACTTCAGCCTGAAACGATACCATGTTCGCTTCCATCTTCTCTTCATAGTTCCTGGAACGTTCATCCATAGACTCCATTTTGGCAAAAATCGCCTCAAGAACGTTGCCATCAGCCAGAGAAGGTGGACGACTGACCGCTGCCTGAATTGCGGAAGAAACAGCCTTTGCAGAGAGTTGGAGTTGAGCAGGATGTTCATCTGTCGGGGTAGGGACAGGACTACTTGTCCGCGAAGTGTCAGAACTGGCTGATCCATGGCGAGTTCTAGACGCTATCGGAGAGTTGAGACCAACCAGGCACACTCGACACACATTTCATAACTCCTCCCCATTGCGTGTCATGCTAAATCTCGTGCATGTAACGTGGAAAAATTTCCGACAAGCACCACATTGCTGCAACTTGACTGCAGTCTCCTTGCGGCAGGTACTACAGCCCTTCTTACTCTTATCCTTGTCACCCATGCCCAGTTAAAGATCAGATATTCAAGTGAGGATGATTAACGCACGAGCTTATACAGTTCAAAATTTGCCGCCCACGTTCGTAAGGACTCTGACCCACTGGCAGTCGGTAACTCGTGCAGGACACGACTGGTAAGACAGTGCCCCCACAGCCCAACTGAATGATGGTAAAGTACTCACTCCGCCAGCAGATGCCAGTTCCTCCTCCCAAAAGTGACAGGTGATAAATGAGAGGTTCAGCGAGACGAGAGAGACAGCCAGAGACAGCGTAGAGGTTATGTCTCAGAAAAGAAAACTCTTTTCATCCATAAAAAAAGCAGCAAAGCAACCAACAGACGAGATCAATATCTCCAAAGGTTGGTTGCAAAAAGCACATGCAACGTAACTGCAACCAAAAACCGCCCACAGGCGAAAACAATGCAGAAAAGTGTGTTCAAGACAGACAGAAAATAAGCGTGTGTGCACTACTTACGGCAAAGAGAGAGAGAGAGAGCGAGAGAGAGAGAGAGAGAGAGAGAGGGGGGGGGGGAGAGAGAGAGAGAGAGAGAGAGAGAGAGAGAGAGAGAGAGAGAGAGAGAGAGAGAGAGAG